CTTTATTTTTTTTTTATTATGAATTTTTTTTTTTTTAAGTAATCATATATATATGTTATTTTACCGTAATATAAATAAAAGTTTTATTTCCGTCTAATATTTTAATTATATTTGAAACAAATTATTGAATTAATATGTAGATTTATTTTATATAATAAATTCTAATTTATAGTTTATAATCTTAATTTTCTTTATAATTATTAATTGTATGTGTAGTTTTTCGATTTTTTTTTATTCTTGTTTTTTTTTAATGATATTCCTTTGTAATTATAATACTAATTTCTTTTATATATATCTTAACAATAAAATATTTATATTACTTTATCATAAATAATGTTTCATATTATTTTAATATACTAAATATTTTTTTTTTTGAATTTCATAATTATTATTCTCATTTATAAATTTTTTAATATTTTTTTCGAGTTTTTATCATCAGTTTTTATAGCATAATAATTTTTTTTTTATTTTCTGATTATTTATTAGGCAGCTAATTATAATATTTTAGATAATTTTATGCAAAATATAAATATATCATTTTTATCTACTATATTTTATATTTAATTTATAAATTATATATCATCTAATATGTAAGTGTGGTAATTTACATCATTAAATAGTCCTAAATTTATTAAAAAGTATTAATTTTAAAAATATATATTTAAATAAATTTATATATGAATAAGTTTCTGGATGGTAGAATTAAATAAAAAATATATTCTAAAGGGTATGTAAAATGCATTTTTAATATAATAGATAATTATTATTTTGTTTAAAAAATAGTAATAAAAAAGATATTAAATATATTAATAATATTATTATATTATAAATATATAAATATATAAATATATAAATATATATAATAATTTAAATATAATTATATATACATATATTTATGTTATTATATATATTTATATCTTAAATATAAAAACGATAAAATAAAAATAAAAAAAATTTAAGAAAAATAAAAAATAAAATAAATCTTAAAAATCAATCGTTACTTTATTAAGTTTATTATTTTTCATCATTATTCTATTCTTTATTATTTTGATTATTTTTAAGTAAATGTGTGAGAATATCTTTAGTGTATTTTAATCTTTTAGTCATTTCAGTATTTTTTGAATTCATAGCCTAAGCTAATGGATAATATAATCTTTCTTGCTATTTATTAAGAAAAGTCACAATTTTTTCTTGGCTGCTAAGAATTATTTCAGTTTGGTCAACAAACTATACCTAAACTACTTTATTAGAAAATCTAAACATAATTGAATGTCTTGTTTTCATCCATTTTTTAAGATAAGTTGTTTACTGTTCATTACTTTTTTATATCTTAATTCCTTTTTTATGAATTTCAGCTTCTAAATAATTTTTAAAATGTTAAAGAAGTGTAATTTTTTTTTGCATTTCTTGAGGAAAATTGGAAATAGTATATTATTAAATTATGTCTTGATTATTAATTTTTTAAATATAAAAGACATTTCCTGTTTCTGTTTCTAACAAAACTTTTGTATTATCGTTAAAAAATACTCCTTAATTTCCATTAGAAAGTACATATCCTAATCCATATTTGCTTGAATAATCTACATATGCGCATATATATGCGCAAGTACTATTTACTTGTATTTAACAATCATCTTATATTTGAATTGATTGTATTTGTTATGATTACACGAGTCCTTTTTTCTAAAATACATCTTATTAATTGCTCGAATTTTATAATTTTGCAATTTCTACTTTTTATTAAGAAAAAATTTTCGAAAGTTAATTTCCGCTTTAATTATTGACTTAATTTTATTAATTTGGCGTAAACTAAGACATACTTCCATTTGTATTGAATTATCCTTAACCTTTGAAAGTCGTAGATGTTACACTTTTGACTAAACCTGTATTTCTGGGAATCCTCGAACTAAATATTTCAGTATTTATTTATAATGATTCTTAATTTGCCTTTAAATTTGTTGCTGATGGCGCATATTATTTTCAAATAACTACTATTTGGAGCGGTTTATAATGTAGAAACAGGTAATAATAGTGGAATTGTCCCTCCATTATTAATAAAGTTATGTGCTAATATTTCATCTATAGTAGGTCTATCAGAAGGCTCTGTTTGTAGAATTGATGAAATTAAAGACTTGGCTGCATCAGAAATTTAAACATGATCGGGAAAGGAATAAGAATTTTATTTAATTCTTTTGTAAGTAGATTTAACATCTGAAGTTTCAAATGGAGGCTTTTTTATTCATATTTTAATTTATAAATAAATATCAATAAAAGTATTATATACAATATATATATAAATTTAAATAAAATAAAATTACTTTTCCAATTAAAAGTGTATAAATAATAACTCCTAGAGACCAAACATCGACTTCGTAAGAATGTCCAATTTTTCCATCGAGAATTTCGGGTGCAATATAATTGGGAGTTCCACAAATAGTTCTTTTTTTTTCGCCATCAAATTCTAGTTTTGTAGCCAATCCAAAATCTCCAACTTTAATTTCCATTTTATCACCTATAAAAAGATTTCCAAGTTTCAAATCTCTATGTATAATTCGATTTGCGTGTAAATATTTTAAAGCATTTACTATTTGGACTGTATAGCATTATGTTTCTAATTCTGATAAAAGCTTTCTGCGTTTTATTAATTCGTTTAAGGTTTAGTGAGGACATAGTTCTAATAATATATAAACGTTTTCGTCATCTTCAAATACATGTTCAAATTTTACAATGTTGTTATGGTGTAATGATTTGTGAATTTTTATTTCCGATATTAATTTTTAACGAGATCGATTCTTTATTAAAGCATTCTTAGGCATGAATTTTGCTGCTAATATTTTCTTTGTTTCCATATTTGTCACGGAATAACATTTTGCAAAACCTCCTTTTCCTAATAATCCACCTATTTAATATTTCTTTATTAAAGTATCACCATTTACTGTTTAAATTTTCTCTTCTATTATATCCGATTATTCATTTGCTTTTTGGGATTATTACATTTTATTTTGTTTTTACTTTTTTTTTTTTTTTTCTTTAATTTTTATTGTTGCTTTTTGTGTTAAAAAAACAAAAAAATAAAAGAAAATATAATTTATAAATAAAATTTTTACATTTGTTTTTTATGTATTATATAATTTTTTTTCTATTTTTTATTTTTACTTTAAATAAATTGTTTTATTTAATTTGAATATAAGATTATGAATATTTTTAAGTTTTAATAATTAAATATTTATATAGAATATTTTTTTTTAATAAATCATTTATATATTATCCAAAATTTTAAAGTACAAATTTAAATAATTATTAGTTTATATACTAAAATTTTTATTTATTAAAAAAAATATAATAATTAATAATAAGTACACATATAATAATATTTTTTATGTCTTTATTAATCCCTCTTAAAATAGTACAACTTTTTATTATTTTTTAATTTAAACTGTCTATCCTTTTTTAAATATATTATAAAAACTAGTATTGTATAATCCACAATAAATATTAACAGAAATATATTATTTATTTAATAATTTATTTTTCTCGTAAATCGAGTAAAGGAGTTAACAACCTTAATTTTTATAAATAATCTATATATAAAATATGATATTTCTTTATATTATTCTAAGAATTATTAATTAATAATTTTTTTTTTCATCATAAATCATAAAATGTTTTTTTTTTATTAGATTTAGTTATTATTATATTCGTATTATTTTATTATATTATTGAGCTATGATTTTTAATATAATTCATTATTTTTATAAGTTTTTATTTTTTTTATAAATTTGAAAAATCAATTATAAATATTTTATATATCCTTTTTTATTAATATATTATTTCTTTTTATTTTTATTTTTACAATTTAAGAAATTTATATTATGAATATTATCTTTCATTTTTTTTCAAATTAAAATTAAAATCCTTATTTATATAACTTTTTACATTTTATTACTATTTTATGTAAACATGTTTCTTTATAACTATTTTTTTATTTTATAAAAAATTCAATGTTTTTGTATTAATTATTAATAAAGTCTTAATTTTATATATTTACATATCAAATTTTATTTTGTCTTTAAAAAAGTAAAAGGCTTATTAATTTTATTTAAATTATCTATTATTATTCTCCATCTAATAAGAGTGAATATATAGAAATAATATTAATATTAATTTATTCTTGTATTATAATTTATTTATTTTATATTAAGTATTTCATAATTAAATCTTATAAAAACTTTTAATTTTTATAAATATCATTAGTATTTATTAATAATTAAATTCCTTTGTTAAAAAATATTTCTTATTTTGATAAAATGTTTACATTTAGCAACATTGATATTTTATTTAGTATTTTTTTATTATTTATTGTACTTATTAAAAAGTTAATTAAAATTTGTATTATATTTGCAAATTTTCACAATTATTATTATTTTCACTTTAATTTATTTAAAATTGAGTTTTTAATTTTTATTACTTTCATTTTTATTTTCCTAATTATTTTTCTCAGGGGAGTAAATACTAATTAGCCTTATATTTTTATTATTTTATATTCTTATAGGCTTTAATTATAGTTGTATTTTACACAAGCAATTATGCATTTTCTTTTTATTGAATATATTGTTTTTTTATTCCGGTTACATTTAAATATATAATTTTTATTTTTTTCTTTTATTTTAGATAATAATTCTAACATCAATATATATTTTTTTTCATCATATATGCGCTTATTTGGATATTTATTTTGCTAAAAAGTTAAAATTAAGTTTATTTGTTTCAAATATTTATAATTTAGTTATATTTTAAGGAGAATCTATTATTAATAAGTCAAATAACTTTTATTTCGGGATATTCAGATAAATTTAAAGATAAATAAAAACATAAATAAATAAATTAATGATTTAAATTATTTTATATATTTTTTTAATAATTTTTATATTATTTATATTATATATATTAATTCTATATATATTAATTATTTTGTAAATTATTATTTTTGAGTTTAAAATTTTTTATCATTTTTTGCTTAATTAAAATAAAACATCAAAATATAAGACTCAGAAGCATTATAATTTAGTAAATATTTTGATTGCCTTAAATAAATAGTTGAAAAAGCTTAAATATTTAATATTATTTTTTTATAGTCTAAATAATAATACTAAACTTTCAACTCAAAACTACAGATAAAATTGATCCAATAGAATTTCCAAAAGTTAACATAAAAAATATAATATAATTGATAAGATCCTTTAAACGAGGATCATTAGTTTTAAGAGGTCCAACAACCATAAGACTAGTAGTACCAAATCCATTAGTGATTCCAAATAGCAAGATGTTAAAAAAAGCAAAATAATCACTTTGAAATTTTTCATGTCCTCTGGCAGTTAGTATAAAAAGAGGGAAAAAAATAAATCTTAAAACAATAACTGTATAAATAATAGAAATTTTAAGGAAATATTTAAGCCCACCAAGCCATTTTCCTACCATATCACCTATATTAAATAAAAAAATCATACAAACATATGCATATCTTGTAGGAATTTCAGTATAAGTAGGCTTTTAGAAAACACATACACCAGGATAAAGAATATACGTTTGAAAATATAAAACCCACATAAAAATTGATACATATCCAGTATATTTATAAGCCTCCTTAAAATCATTAACATATTTCATAAAGTTGCTTTTTTATGTTTTTTTTCTTATACTTTTTAATTATTGCTGCCTTGTTATTAGGAAATTTAAATATCTTCAGTGTCTCTCCTTTGTTCAATTTATGTATTTTTTGCTTATAGATTATCGTTATCGTTATAGTTATTATTATCTCCATTTTTGTTTTAAATAATTTCGAATTTTATCTTTTTTATATTAACTAATTTAGGATTGCTTTAAATATAGTTATTATCAGTTGTTTATTTTTGGTAAGCCTCTTCATTTTTTTTAGGTTAAGTAGTTATACTGCTATAACTTTCCGCAGCATTTTTATAATACTAGCTATTTGTAAATACTATTTACATGATACTAGATAGTAAGTATAAGCAAAAAACAATAGAAATAAATAGAATCGCACTATTATTAATAGACGTTTCGTCATCTCCAAATATCGACAAAGCCATAAGTCTTAAAACATTCATTAGCATACCAGAAACAGCTGTAAAAGTCCAAAAAATACTTGTTAATTATAAAGAGCATGTCTATCCTAGAATAATTAACGAATTACTATTCACATTATCTACAAATCCACAACAGAAAAATATTATTAAAGTTAAAAAAATCCTCCCCATGTATTAAATACTATTCCGATTATAATATTTAATGATAAAGTTGATCCTACAATTAAAAAAGAAAGAGAAATTCTTTAATTCAAAGTGAATACTTCTGCGAAATATGGACAAAGAGGACCTGATAAAAATGTAGAAAGCATAACTGGAATAACAAAGTAAAAAGATACATCGACAAATTTTTCTTTGGGATACTTAAATGTAAAAAAGTCTAATGTTGATAACATTGTATTTTAACCTGCCATTGAAGCGATTCCGAATATGCAAAATGTAAATTTGTGCCAAAGAGTTATTTTACATATCATTGGTTTCTATTTCCTTACTGCTTATTAGTTTTATAGTTATATTTCTTCACTAACAGTTTTTAGTTCAATATTCATTTTATTTATATTAATTTATTTTATTTTTTCAGAAAAAAATTAATTTATAATTTATTTTACACTTGGTGTTATATATATATAAAAAAAAATATATACTCAAATTAAAGATATATTATATATAAGCTAACTTAATTTTAGATGTTAATATTATATAAAAATAAATACTTTTTATTCACTTATATTTTTATAAAAAAAATACGGTAAATTATTTAATTTTCTTAGTTAAAATTTTATTCCAAATAAAAATAGTACATAGTATCTGTTTTAAAGTTTACAAAAATAACAAATTATCATTAATAAAATTATAAATATTAATAAAATAACTAATTTTATTTAAATGCATATTAAATTAAATAGAAAAGCAATAAAAAATATATTTTTGTATAATAATGGTATTATAATCTAATATAAATAATAATTAAAAATATTATTTTTTTCAAATAGATTAATAATTAATTGGTATACATTATTTAAATATAATTATAATAAATTTAAAAAAAATATTTTTATATAATGAAAGCATTTTAATGGGTTATAAAATTGAATTAATTATTTATAAAACCAAAAATTTTTTTTTTTTTAAATAAAACTATATTTATTTATATTTAATTTAAATATTAGAATTTATTCATTTTTTATTTTTCCTTTCTCAATATTTAATTTGTTTTTTTTAAAAAAAAAACAAAAAAATTATATTAGCTTTTATTTTTAAATTAATTGTACACAATTTTTTTTTTTCATTATGACACTTATAATTTTTATTATATTATGTGATTATACAATAATAATAAAATGAATTTATTAAAAATTTTATTAAAATAATTTAATTTATAAAATGAAAACTTAATTAACTAATTAACAAAGAGATAAAAAGAATCTATTTTAAAATAATTTATTATACAAATATATTATTTCTATTGTATGAATAGATCAAAAAGCTTATTTAAACTAAAATAGATTAATATTTGTTATATAAATTCTTTTGTATATTAATTTTCAGAAATAAATTAGAAAAAGAATTTATAAAAAAAACAATAGCAGATTTATATTTATTACTTTTTTATAGATTTTATTATTTTTTCTCTTATATTTTATTTAAAAACTTAATTAAAAAAATAGTATCCTTTTTTTTTTTTAAGTTTATAAATAAAAATTACAGTAAAATAATATTAAATTTATAATTTAATAATAAAAAAAGTATTAAAATTTACTTTTTAAATATAAAACAATTAATAAATACAAAAGTAATATTTAATAAAAAAAGAATTAAAATATATTAAATTAAAAAAGAAAAATTAAGTAATTCTGATGAATTTTTAAAAAGCCCAAATTACATTATAGTTTTTATTTCAATCAGATTCAAAATACTAAGAATTGATATATTAGTTTTTGACAAAAAAGGACTTATGTAGATTAAATTTATGTTCTTAATTTTTTTACTCTTAATTTAAGAAATATCAATAAGGCAAAGAAAATAATCAATATAATTTATGGAGAGAAAATATATACTAAAAAATAACATAAAAAAAGTTAAAAAATTAGAATTTTAAATTTATAGAAACAGACTCGAATTATATAATAAAAATGCGTATTTTTGATATTCCATTAAAATATTTAAACCCGAAAAATTGGTAATTAATAGAAATTCAAAACGATCCTTAAAACTTGATGAAAAATATAAAATAAGATAAATTTATTAAAGAATATAACAACATTTTTTTCAAAAATGTAACTTTCCCAGATATTGTATTCATTAATCGTTCAATAATTGATTAAAACCTAAACATATAAGAAGATAATACTATAGAAGAATAAAATGAAGCCTATGAATAAAAAAAATACTAAGATTTGTACAAAAGTGAGTAATTCACATCTGTAAATTATGATTTTTCAAATATGTAAAGCCTATTAAGTCGTCAAAAGCAAATAATAAATAAAATAAAATAAAAAGAGTAAAACATGATTTAATCTTAATAATAAGATTATATATAAAATTTGCACAATATTAAAAAAATAGCTATTATTTTATGTCATGGAGGTTATTTTTCACTTGGAGTTTTTAACGAAAAAGGTAATTGCCTCTTTCATAAAAGCGATCATAAATATGTTACTAGAAAAAAAGCCGGATAAAGATAAATTAATTGTGATTCTTAAAGTGGAAGATAAGTTAAATCTATGGGAAGTTAAATCCGAAGAGATCAAGAGAAAAAACATTAAGAAAAAGTTCATAATATTCTTAATGAACACTTTGAAGATATAAATAAATGTGATGTTGTATTTTTGTAAGCTCCTGGACTTAATAAATAAATACTTATAAAAGAAAATGAACCTCTGGGAAAAGTATAACATAAGTTAAGGTCAATTTGTTTGACTGCGAAAAAAGCTAATTACACAGAAGTTGAAAGAATTTATAAAGCTATTACCAAAATTTATTTGGTTTTAGATAAATAATGAAAATTAGTTTTTTAAAAAATTATTTTATGTTTTTTGTAAGAATTTCAATTTCTATTATTTTACATATTTATAAATTTTATGTACAAAATATTAATATTGACTAACTATTAAAAAATTAATAATATTAAAATGGTTAAGATTATTTATCTTAATAATTATTATTTATTTTAGTATTAAAAATCAAGTTAAAATTTGAGGCTATTAAATAATTAGAACTTCAGTCGGAAACATATAATATGGGATATCTCCTGAGACTATAAAAGATTCAATAACTATGAAATTAGAAGTACCAAAATATTTTATTATACCAAATAAAAGATTTGATAAAGTTTCAAATTTAAATGTTGCTGAGTTCGAATTTCCGGCCTATTATAATTTTTTTATTCATAAAAATACAATAAACTTAATATGCGATTCAGAAACAAAAGAATGTATTAGAAGAGCTTTTTAAGAAACATTATGTGGGCCTTCTTCGTATGAAAATTTAGTTGAAGATTTCTATTACACATATCCAGTTTCAGGATATCCAGATTTCAAAAACGAAAGAAACTTTGTATCAGGAGCTATTTATAATCAATCATAATATGATAATAATATAGACACTTTATTAAACTTTTAATTTTTTGAAAATAGTAAAGTTGTTAAAGAAAGTGATGATAATTGAGAAATATAAAGAAGGAAATAATTATTCTTTTTATTTTCTAGGTTATTATTTTGGATAAATAAATTTAATTGATGAATTTAAATAAAGTAAAAATAAGTCAATATTTTATATGTTAAAAAAAATAATTTACTCATTAGTCTATATAAAAATCAAAAAGTATTATTGGAAGATATTATTAAAGAAAAATGGGTTTAAAATTATGAATGTATTTGGAAATAGAGACAAATTTATAAAATATTAGTTATTATTAAAAGTGGCAATATTCTGTATATTAAGTAAGATAATTGTTTAGACCTCCTTAAAAGTTATAAAAAATAATAGTATCCCTTATTATTGAAGCTTAATAATTGGATTAAGTTTTTAAATAAAAATAATTTTTATAAATAATAATTGATATAAAATTAAAAAGATATAAAATTATTATATTGTCATTTTATAGAATAGAATATATATATTTAATTAACAAAAAAAATTAAAAAATAAAATAAAATAAAAAACGATAATAATTATAAAATAAAAAAACTAAAAAGCTGCTCTAGAGCCTTTAAAAATATTTTTTTCTAATGTTTTAAAGGTGTAGAAAGTAGCTTAAAGAAATTTTCATAATAAATGAAAATTATTAAATAAATAGCGTTTTTCTATTACCTATATAGAAAAATTAACTAAAATATTTAATAAACATTAAAAATTAAAATATAAATATCAATTTTGTTTTTTGTTAATAATATTATAATATTAATATATCAAAAAATTAACACAACACAAAATTTGGATTAAATTTCCTTGCTTTTAGAGAACGAATATACTTACATTTATTAAAAATTTACATTTTGTCTTTTTTAAAAATAAATAAAAAAACTATAAAAAAGTTTATTATTAAATTATTTAAATGGATAAAATAGTATAAAAATAAATCATCTAAAATAAACTTTTGATTCAATCTATAACTTAACTCCAGGATTTTTATCTAAAAACTCAATCCAATCCTAACTAATAATATATAAAATAGTAGTATCTTATAAAGCTTTTAATGAAGATTAAACAGGTACTTTATTAATAATTGCCATAGTTTCACCTATAAATTCTCCTTATCTAACAATTTTACCTTTAAGGTTTTATTTAAAATATGCTAATGATCCATCTTTGACAATAACAACAGACTCAGGGACTTGACCTTATTTCCATACGCATGTGCCTTTACTTATTTTTTATTCTTTAAGAATAGCCTCCAAGACTACCTTTTAATTTTTATCCAAAGAATTAAAATAATTATTTTTTTCCAAATAGACTATAACAAACTACTTTCTAGCTTTCGTCAACTCTTTTAATTTTTTCAAAATATTATTTTCTTCACCAAACAAAAATTAAAAATCATGTCTTTCCAAACTTAATAGTATTGTTTTTTTTTCAGCTTTTGCACTTGCTTTTCTTTATTTCATTTCATCAATTAAACTAATTTCTCCAAAATAATCTCCTGGCCCTATAAAAGACTCAAAATTTTAATTTTCGAAACAAAAAATCTTCACAAGTCCACTTTATACGATAAAGAATTTATTTCCAGTTGAGTTTTCTGGAAATATTAAATCTCCTTTTTCGTATTATTCAACTTCTAAACAATCTAGTAAATAGCGAACGTTTTTAACTGTTAAAGTGCTGAATATATCTATGTTTGATATCAAATCTAAATTCCTGATATGGATTATTTTCTAGTTTGTGTTATTTTCATAAAGCACTATAGTATTTTCAAGTCCTTCTTCTAGCCTTTTAAATCCTTCATTATATTTAACATCTTTTACCGCTATATGTAATAAATAAAGATTTTTCTTAGCTTTTTCTGAAAAATGAAGGAAAGAACTTTATGGGGTATGAATTGGAGGAACTCCAGCTTCATGCAAAATAATATCGTATTTATCCCAATCAATTTCAACCAAAGAAGTATACCTTTCTTTTTATAAATATCCCCATTCAAAATATTTTTTAAGACGAATAGGATCATAGAAAGTATCAGCTGAAAAATAAACGCTTTTTCCCATTACTTCAATATCAAACCCAATACAAGGAATTACATGAAAAGAATAAAAAAAATTAAATAATCCTCCATTTATTTTCATTCTACTTCCTATTATTACAGGTCTAAATACAAATAATTTTTTTATTTCTTCCTCACTCATTGCTGTTATATTAGAATATTTTCTTACAAATGAATTCATTATTGTTCTTGTTGTTATTAATTCAATCTTACTTTAAAGAAGGATTTTTTCAAAAGCACCTGAATCATGATCAGCATGACAATGTGTTATTATTATTGCTTGTATTAATTAAGGCGATACATTCATTTCTTTTAAATAATCATTTGTGTATGGTGGTGGATCTACCATTATTCCTCTTCCATATAACCAAATTATTATTCCTGTAGTATGTCCACAAGGATCGAATCCATGTGAATTGCCTATAACTGAAATCCCAAAGTCTGGAGGAGTAAATCCTTCGGAAAGAAAAGTATGAGGAATCTTGAATTAAGAACCTTTTTTAATGAAATTTCTTCCATCACATTTAATACGATTTAATTATGGATTTTTTGGACTAGATATTACAGGGCAATGTTATTATTATTATCGTGATTATTATTATTTGGAATCAATAATATTTAAAAGATCGTCTAGAACATCCAAATCCTATGGAGTGAACTTATTTTCTTAGACAGTCATTTCAACACGATCATTTATAATAGCAATTTCTTTACCATTATCAATAAATTTATAGGAAAAGCAAAGTTAATTTTTATTTAGAATTCTTTAAATAATTAATGTATTATTATCTTTAACTATAACTATTTGATTTTCTTAAAAAACTGAAAAACACAAAATCGTATCTGGATTTGAATCTAATGAAGGATTTTGAATAGCTCCAGATAAAATTTTTCTTTCTTTTTTGAAATCTGGATATCCTGAAACTGGATATGTGTAATAGAAATCTTCAACTAAATTTTCATACGAAGAAGGCCCACATAATGTTTCTTAAAAAGCTCTTCTAATACATTCTTTTGTTTCTGAATCGCATATTAAGTTTATTGTATTTTTATGAATAAAAAAATTATAATAGGCCGGAAATTCGAACTCAGCAACATTTAAATTTGAAACTTTATCAAATCTTTTATTTGGTATAATAAAATATTTTGGTACTTCTAATTTCATAGTTATTGAATCTTTTATAGTCTCAGGAGGTATCCCGTATTATATGTTTCCAACTGAAGTTCTAATTATTTAACCTCCTCTAGGTAAATCTATTACTATGTCGTTATTTTCTTTTGGAACGACTGATGTTTCTAGTACAAATGAAGTTAAACTTAGTTCTTCTAATATAGATTAATTAGCTAAAGATATAGGTAAATATATGCAAGACATTTTTTTAATTTTTTTTTATTAAATATTTTTAATAGAAATATATATATGATATTATTTTATATTTTTTTTTATTTATTTTGATATTATTTAACTATTATTTCTTATTTTTCATTAATTTTATTATTTTATTTATACAATTTATATATTAGTTCATAATTATATTATGATTAATTTATTTATTTAATATTTTTATTTATTTTGATTATATGATTATTGGTTTTAATTTTTGAAATATTTTTATCTTTGTCTATTTAAAATTTATTTTTTTATTCATAACACTAAAATAAATAACATCTTTATTATAAATTTACTAAACATTATTTTATTTAGTTTTTATTTACTTATACTAAATTTATTTATAATAAAAAAATATAAATATACTAATTTAATACAGTAGCTATTTTGAACAAACAATATAGTATAAATATATTAATTTTTTATTTATAAATAAATTATATATTAATCCTAAAAGATATAAATATATTTTATCTCTCTTTATATTATTAAAATATATTTGATTATTCGAATTTATAATCACTTAAAAATTGTTTTTATTAAACTATAAAACTTTTTTTTATTTTTATTTAGATACCTAAATAAATTTTAATAAAATATTTTTCAAAAACAGATTTTTTTTTTTTTAAATTATTTAAATGCTCAAAATTTTATTTTATTCTAATATCTTTTATAAATATCAGTAATATGGTATTGTTATAATATATATATATTTTATTCCTTTTTTTCAAAAGAAAACAGTTATTTCTTGATTTTGTTTTCATAAAATGCCATTTAATTAAAGTTTTTTATATATTTATTATTTTATTTTTTTCAAAAATAGTTTTTTTAATTTTTTTGTTTTTCTGTTTTCATATCTAAACATTAACTTTATAATTTATGTTATTCTTAGATATTTCTAGTTTTTTCATAAAATTATTTTTTAAATTTTCCTTAAAAATATTAAACTTGCTTTTTTTTATTATATAATGCTTTGTAAAAATAATGAATATTTTAAGTGTATTTAATTTGACTCTTGCTTTTATTAAATTTATTCCATTAATTTATAAATCTATCTGTTTATATAATTCAAATTAATTTTATTTTTCATTATTTTATTTGTAAGGAGAATATTTAATGCTTTTTTTTTTTGAGAATTATGCTATTATGAAAATGCGATTTGAAGTAATATTTTTGATTAAATTGTTTGTTATTAATTTTTTTATTAAATATTAAAAATTAAAAAGTAAATAACAATATGTATTTTTATTTATTTTTTTATTGATAATTATAATATATTTTGTTAAATTTTTTAATATCAATATAATATTTTTTTATGATTAAATTTTTTTTATTTATTTATTTAAAAAACACATTAAATAAATTTGTTATTTTTAAAAATTAAGAAAACATTCTATTTTAATTAAAAAAAAAAATTATTATTGAATTTTTAAATATAAATTTTCTTATTTAATTTTATATAAAAATAAGAATAAATTATATTTTAAATTATAAAATAATAAAACAATAGTAAAAGTTGAAAATTTATGTTAATTTTTAAAAACTGATAATGGCTACTTATTTATAATAATAATTATAATAAATAAAATAATAAAAATTTAAAAACCAAATATATCTTTCACCTTCTGAACTTTCAAAAAAAGTTGATTTATCAAACAATAAAATCACTTTTAAATTTACAGCCATAGGTAATAAAGCTTTAAATGGTTATAGCAATTAATATGAAATTTATTTTCCTTTAGAGTTGAAAAATTTCAATATATAAGAAGATTAATTTATTTAAATCTTAGAAGATATTAATTATTATGCTTCAAATTATTGGCCTTGCTTAACTTGCTATTATTTAGGATTATTTCTTGGCGTATTTACTTGTTGTGTTTCTAATATTATCCCTTGCTTGTGTATTTTAGACGGGGAGTAAATCTTAAGGGAAAAAATTAAATCATATAATATTTAATTTTTTAATTCTAAAGGATTACATCTGTAACTAGTTAAATTTTGCTTTAATAGTTGGCTAGAATTATCTATAATTCCTTCTGTTCCTTTGTAAATTTTAAATAATTCCTTTTTTTGAAAACAATAAAAATAAAAGGAAAAAATTTATATTTGAATTTTTGTTTTTAAAATTTATAATTAATTAAATTTTTAGAAAAAAATAAAAAAATTATTAAAAAAAAAATATGGAATATTAAAAAAAATATATATTAAAATATTTATTATATTTTATTTTTGATAAAATAATAAATTTCAGATATATAATAATAATTATTATATATAACCAAGCTTTCTCAACTTAATAATTTTTTTTTTGGTCACAATATTCAAAAACACTTTTTTAATCACTTAAAACAATTGCACATCTTGAAGGAATATATAGATAAATGCTATTATCCCTTCCATCAACACATTATCCAGTTAATTTAAAAGGCACATCATGCCCTGCTCTGACTCTATCATGTCCACCGAAATGTGGCTATTTTAAAAAATATATATTATTGAATTTATTTAAGTATATATTAAAAAATAATAAACATCATCGGTGTCTAAAATAATCAAAAGATCATCTCTTAGACTAGTTCCAATCAAATATTTTTCATATGATTTAGTAGGATGGAAGTTAAAAACAAAAAGCAAATTATCTCTTTCAAAAACTATAACTTTATCTTCCTCATGTTATCTAGAAATATATTTATTTTTAGAAAATAAAAATTAGAATTTTTATTCTAATAAAATCATTTCTTTATCAAAATTCTATTTTTATAAGAATATATATGTATATATATATATATATATATATATATTTAAACTATAAATATAATTAACATTTAAATATTAATATCTTAATAAACTATTATCAACTAAATTCCATTATCTTCTACAATAATTATAACTCCATCCATTCTATTCTCTAGGAAAATCTATCCATTCAGGGTGTCCAAATTCATTTCCCATAAAATTAAGGTAACCCTATAAAATCATATTATAAAAAATAATATATATTCTATACTTCTCCTCCTAAAGCAATAGTAATTAATCTAATCATTTTATGTAAAGCAATACCTCTATTAACAACAAATGTTTCTTGAATAGTAGTACTCATTTTATCATAAATATCTTTATCAAAAAGCCACATAGATAAAGTCTTATCTCCCACAAGTGCCTAATCATGACTTTCGGCATAAACAATACACTTTTCATCGCTTCGTCTATTAATAAGAGTCCATACCATATCTTTTATATTCCATTCTTCATCACTTTTTTCTTTTAATAATTGAATCCATTTGTCAGGGACTGCCATTTATAATCTATAATCGAACCCGATTCCTCCTTCTAAAATGCTTCTACATAAAGTGGGATATCCGGAAACATCCTCAGCAATACTAATAGCATCTTTATAAATCGAATGAATTAATTTGTTTGCAAGCATAAGATAAACTAAGCTTTCTATTTCTACATTTTCATTAAAATATTCATGATAGCCTCCTGTAAATCCTTTACCTAAGCCATGATGTGAATAAAGCATAGAAGTAACTCCATCAAATCTGAATCCATCTACATCATATTCTTCCATAAACCATGAAATATTTGATAAAAGAAGTCTTAAAACTTCCCATTTTCCATAATTGTAAATTTTTGAGTCCCATCCTGTGTGATTTCCTTTTTATCCATCATGGAAATATTAAAACTCAGTTCCATCCCATTCATTGAATCCATCATTCACATTTTTGCTTGCATGAGAATGCACTAAATCTATTAATACATGAATTCCCATTCCATGTGCAGTATCTACTAATATTTTAAAGTCTTCTGGAGTTCCAAAACGAGAAGATATAGCGAATAAATTCGTTACATGATATCCAAATGAGCCATAATAAGCATGCTCAGCCACTGCCATTATTTATATAGTATTATACCCTAATTTTTAAATTCTGGGAAGTATTTTTTCTGTAAACTCGTTAAATGTGTGAACTCTCGGTTCTTAGCCAGCCATTCCAATATGACATTCGTAAATTTTGAGAGCTCGGGTAGGTTCTGGTTTTGGATTTCTGAAAACATAACTTTTAGATGGCCACCAAAAAACTGCATCAAAACCTTTTGTTTCTTCGTTTTGCATTAATTTTCTAGACCAAACGGGAATTCGGTCTACCCATTGGTTTTTAGCATTCAATATGTGAATTTTAATCTTAGAGTTGTGAGGTATTATTGGACTATCATTTATTAAAGGAAGCTTGATTTCCCAGTTTCCAAAATTATCGCGAGTTAAAGGGTATTGTTTTTTATCCCAATTATTAAAATCTCCACATAAATATACTTCTTAAGCACATGGAGCCCATTCTCTGTAAATTAAATAATCTCCAAGGATATTGAATCCTTATTTTTAGTATCCTATTCTTTGTTTTGTTTTTGTTTTTGTTTTTTTTTGTTTTTTTTTTTACCTTTCGCAAAATCTTCCAAACTATTCTCTATTTTTTAAATATGCTATAATTAATTATAAAAAGCACTTGTACGTATCTCAAAATGATCCTTATAATATAAGAGATTAGGATCGTCTTTAAATACTTAAAAATCATCAACATATTATGGCATTTATTCATGTTTAAGACTTTAGTTCTTTGGACAAAATGATGATTTTTTCCTTTGCAAAGCTCTTGAACCGGATTTTCGAACTGAATCGCTACTATCAATATACATTATAAGATTAATTTTTTTTTTATAATGAAAATTAATTTAATTATATAAGTATATATATTAATATTATTATTTTGTAAGTGTTTATATATAATATAAAATATATATTTAGTTATACAATAGATTTTTTTCTATAAATATTTTAATTATATTTCTGATAATAAATAATATATTAATTTATTAAAAAAAAATTAAATAATGAAATTATATAAAAATATTAATATTTAAATTTTTGTATATATTTAAAATAATTATAAAGTTTTAAATATTTTATATATATATATATATATTATATATTAAATATTATTTTTATAAACAAAAAAGAAATTAAATAAGAAAAATGAAAAAAAATATATTTATTTATTTAAATATAAATATATATAAAATTAATTATATAAATATATTATATATATATAATATATATTTATTTTTAATTTTATTTTATTTATTTATTTTTATATAATTTTTTTAATTTTTAAATAGAAATATGATTTTTAATTTTTATTTTTTTTTAACAATTATAATTATACTCTTTTCTTTAACTCTTCCAATTATATAAAATCTTTAATATATATATATTTTTTTTTTAATGATTATAATTATTAATATTTTCTATTTTTTTACTTTTTATTTTTAAATTTTTTTTTTTTTATATATATTTATTTTATATTAATAAATATTAAAATAATGCATTACATATATTTATTTAGTATTTAAAAATACATTAATAATCTTTTAAATTATTTAATTTATTAATGCCATTTTTATCTTATTTTTACATTATAAATATTTTTATATTAATTTTAGCCATAAATATTATTCATATTTCTAATATATTAATTTAATTTATTTTAAATTATATAATAAAATATTTATATATCTTCAATTTAACCAAAATTATTTTTTTATATTTTAATTATAACTTTATTTACTTTTTTTTCATTAACTATTCTATTCTTATTCATAATTTAATATTTTTTCGACCCTTAAATCAGATCTTCTCTTCATTATTTATTATATATATTCATAACTATATATTTTAAAACTTTTAATTTTTTTTTTTTTTTTTAAAGATGGCTTATTAATAAAAAATATCCATGTTGTTTTTATTAATATTTCTTTCTGCTAAAAAAATAAAATATAAAAATTATATTCAATTATTAATAAAACTGTAAAGTTCTTCATATTTTTAAAATAATTAATTAATAAAGGTGATTTATAATTTAATTTTATATTTTTTTTTTTACCGAAGTATGTTTTAAAACATAGCATCTAATGCTGAATATCTTTTTTTTAGAATTTATTTTCTATTAATTTTCTTATAAAATTTTTGGCCTCTTTTGAAATATAATTAATTTAGTTCTTCAGTATCAAAATTATATTTCATAATTATTACATTATCGATTATATTAACATCGTTATGTCCATTAAAAAGTAATATATATAAATAAAAATAAGCTTATAACTTATATATTTAAAAATAGTAAAAATTACTCGCATTATAAAATAACCCTTCATCTCTAAATATGATGTTTATTATTATCTTATTTTTTTCTAATAAGAAGTTCCTATTTTTTAAGTAAGTTTATTGTTAGGGTATAAAATTTCCTAAATCTACTAGGTTTTTTAATTTTATATAATATGTTTTCGGCTTTCAATTTTTTATTAAAAATATTATTTGATGTTAATAATTGACTGCCAGAAGTGTTTATTGAATTGATTATGATGCTTTCTGCAAAAAACTTTCATCTATAATTTTATCGAAAATTTCATTGACTTAACATAGCTAACTGACTATGTAGAAAAGTTTAGAGTCTTAGTGAAATTGGGATATCTTTTATGTTTGGATAATCCTTATTATTTTTTAATTATTTAAAAAAAAAAAAAAATTACTAAGTTTTAAGAATTTTAATTTCTTATTTTAAAGATATACCATTCGTTTTTTGGAGTTGCACCTTTACTAATTATTTTTGATGCTTTTAATATTCTGGCTTATTTATGAACTGTTTTTCTTTCTTCAATATATGCACCTATTTATATTATTTTGTTTTGCATTATAAAAATTAACTTATTTATAATATTTTATATATATTTTAATACAATTAAACTAACTATATATAAAGCTTATTATTTCTATATTTTCCTATAAATAGATTTAATAATATATAATCTTTATTAATTTATACTTATTTTTCTCATTCAATTTTCGAGAATCTCGATGTATATTTAATTTATTAATATACTAATATGCATTTTCGTTATATTTATTTATTAGGAATTAACAAAAAAATTATAAAAATTTAATTTAAATTATCATCCATATTTTACATTCATATTTGCAGGCTTTTTTCCGTTCTCTCATTGTTAATTCTATTAATATGCTTTATAAATATATCTGACTTAATTGATAAACAGCCTATTACCATTTTTTTTTATTAAAATTAATAAAATTTATATAGAGGATTTAAAAGAAATATAAAATTTAATAAACACAATTATGTTATATGTAATTATTTAAAATATATGAAAAACATAATTCTAATGTTATTTGTATGTATTAAATATTCTTTATAATTTAATTATAAAAATCATAAATATTTAATAAGCAAATAACAAAGCATATTAAATATATAATAAATTAAAAATTAATTATATTAAAGATAAAATTAATTCATTAATATAAATTTATAATAATTATTTCTATATAAAAAACATTATAATAAATATTGAAATAAAATAAAATTAATTATAAATTAAAAATCTTAAATAAATAAAATATATTTTATTTTTACATATTATAGTTCTATTTTGAAAAGTAAAAGGAAAAATAAATAATTTTTATATTACAATATATATATATATATATATATTAAATGAGTTATGATTGTAAAATAAATATTTTTTTTTTCCCCCTTCATTAAAACCTCTTTACTTAACCATTTTAAATCAATATATCAACATCAGGCTAACCATCATCGACAAAGTTATTTTTTAAATTTATATTTTTAATACATTTTCCAAAATTAAGGGAAAAATTATTACTAAAAAATCCTCCTTTATCCCAATTTTTCTCTTCCTCAGTATTTATATATCCAAAGCTGTTATTATTGTTAAAATTTAATGAAGTATGCATTTATATGTTTTAAATTTATAAATTAGTATTAAAGTTTTCTAATCCAATAATATTTTTTTCAGGATTTTCTTACTTAATTATCTTTTTTTATCTTTTTTCTAAATAATATGAAGGTTCTCTATTTGTACATAAATCACATCTACAATATAGACTGCATTTTACTCCTCTGTTATAACATTCACAGTACTTTTTTTAACATCCTGATTTTTTACAATTACATCCTCTATTATGAATATAAATATCTTTTTCATCCTATTTTTAAATTATTTTATTAAAACAGTAAAATAAAAAATAAAAAATAAAAAATACTTATAATGATTATATTTTTGGCTTAAATGCATCAGGATTTCTTTAAACTAATTATTAAATTGCTTCATCTCTTTCTTTTTTTTCAGCTTTATTTAAACAGTCATCACATGTACATTCATCGGAACAAAATCCTTAAGAATTAAAACAATCGCAATAAAGTTTTAAGCATTTACTTTTTTTGCATTTACATGTTATTTTTTTTTTTTATACTTAAGCAGGAAGTAAATTTTTTTCGTATTCTATAATCCCATTATTATTATTTTCATCATCTTAATTACTAATATTATCTTCTAATAAATTATACAATTTATTGTTTTTTCCTAAAGATATACTGTTTATTTAATCTAAATGCAAAATTCTTCTTTTTTATTTCTATAAAAGTTATTTTTATTATATGTATTATATATTTTTTTCTAAATATTATTAATTAAATAGTTGTGGAAAGTTTTCATCTGTTTAACATATTTGGATTAATAAATTACCTTTCTTTATTTCTTCTTTTATTTAAAGATTTTTTTAATTGTCGTTTTTGTGAGTAATTGCTATTGTATCAAATTATTGTTGATTTTAATTTTTGCTTTTATCCATTTCTGAAAAGTTAAAACACAATTTTTATATTTTCTTTTTTTCACAATTTTATAAAGGATAGTTACTTTTATTATTTTTATTAATAAATTATAAGTTATTAATTATTTGTTTTTTTTTTTATTTTTTTTTATTTTTTTTTAAAGCTTATATTTATTTATATTTTTAAAATATGCGTGTTTTTTTTATAGATTAACGATTAATATTTAAAAATATTTTTATAAAGAAATATTTAAATATTTTTAATAAAGAAATATTTATTATAAATTTTATAATAGCTATAAAAAAATTAAGTATATTTATATTTATTACTCTTAATTTATGGTAATATTATTTTCGTAGTGTTCAAGTAAGTTTTTTCATTAATATTTGCTTAATATTTGTTTTTATTGGATTATAAAGTATATTCTTAATCTTCAAATACTTATATTTCTATTTTTTATATAAATATAAATTAACAATATATTTATACATTTAGAATGTTATTAGTGTTGCAAAGGTAATGTACAAAAGCTCATTTTATTATTATTATTTTTTATTTTAATTATTTTTTTATTTTAGAAATGAAATTGTATTTTAATTTTAATTTTTTTTCTTTTTTAAATAAAAAAATAGAAGTAGGCTTTGAAATTAGTTTTTTTTGTTTTTTTTGTTTTTTTATATATATTTTTTAAATATTTTTATTACATTTTTAATATGCATACAATATATTTTAATTATATAAAAAATTCTATTTTATTTAAAAAAATCAAAATTTAAAAAAAAATATATTCGAATTCCTTTACTTACCTTTTTTTTAAAAAAATTAATTCCCACAAAATTAATTTTAAAAAAATAAAAAAAGCGCCAAAAAATAAAAGGAAGAAAAAAATATAATCATGTAAATAACTTATTTTAAAATTATATACAAAAATATTAATAAATAAATATTTAATTTTTAAAGTTTATATAATTTAAAAAAAATATAATTTAAAAAATAAATTAATGTTATTTTTCACTTATTTTAAATTAATATTATTATTTATTTATATTGAAATATTGTTTCAAATAAAAAAAAAAATACATTTAGTTTTTTTTTAAAATAATTAATGCATATTTATTAATAATAATAATTTAATTATTATTATCTTAATTTAATTTTTCATGTATTTTTTTTATGTTTAATATTATAATAATAGATATACTTTTTAAAATTTAAAAAATTTTAATATCTTTTAATTTATTTTTATTCTAAATAATAAATTACATATTATTTTAATATATTATAATTTTTTAATATAATATTAATGAAATTAATTTTATTATTTAATACTTATAAAAACAGAAATTTATAAATATTTTTCATCAAAATTAAAAAATAATATTTAAACTTAACATAATAAGTGATTAGTTTTTAATGCGGTTATATAATATTTTTATTTTATTTTTTTTATTAAACTTTAACTTTTTTGTTTTAAATATACATAAAATTTATTTTTTTGCAAATTTTAATATTATATATATTTATATTTTAATTAATGCATTTTTTAGTTTTAAAGACTTTTATTTTATATTTTTATATGAGTTTTTGATAATATGAAATATTTACAACTGTTATAAAATTAATTTAGATTAATTATTTAACTAAATAATAATATTTAAAAATTAATTATTAAATAGTTTAAAATTGAAGAATAATAAAAATATTATAATATTATATATATTAATATAATTATTTATGAAATGTGTAGTAAACAAGGAATATACATAATTTTATATAATATATAAATACTTAAAAAAATAAAATATAAATATACAAATTAAACTCATAATTCTTCGCCTTCCATAAAACACTATTAATGATAAAATCTATTATTATAATAAATTGTCGGTGGTAAAAATCCCCTTTACGGAGAAATATAAAGCATATAATTTTAACATGAATAACATAGAGTTTATGAATTAAAAACTTTTTCAAAATAAAAAATTTTCTTATACGTAGTTCCGCTGACATTATCAGTCAAAAATAAGTCCATAAATTAAGAAATTTCTAAATTAGTTTATACATATTTTAAATATAAAGATATTTCTTTAAAAACTTCAGTATATGCGAAAGTAAGATTATATTAATTATCTTTTAATATAGGAAAGCATTATATATCTTAAATATCATAATCTAAATTATTTAATTTTCTATTGTAATTATTAAAAGGGCTATATATGTTTAATTATTAATTTTAATTTGATTATTATTATTACTAATTTTATTGGTATGTTTATTATTATTGTTATTTAACAAAAAAAGCAACTCCATATTGATTTATTTTTTCAAAATCATATTTTTTAAATAATGCTATATTTTGTCTTTATATTACGGTTTAGCCAGCTTTTTGATATAAGTCTAATTAGCTTGATTTTATTTTATTTTTTTTGCATTTAAAATATTCCTCATTTCTTTATAATAATTTTAATGATTCCTTTATACTTAAATTTATTTCAAATAAATTTTCATCTTCTATTTCTTTAAATTTTTATTTGAATAAATCTAATAATGATTCAATAGTTTTTTAACTATATTTTTTTTTTATAAAATATATAGATATGTATTTTTTTTACATTTGCTATTAAACTATTGTAGAAGACTACTTTTCAGCAGATTTTTCTTTATTTTCTTTATATTGCTTTATCTGTGAAATATATTAAATTAGTTAATTCCTTACTTAACTTAAAATACTTATTGTATTATCTATTTTATTTATATAAATTATACTTTTTTATATTAACATTTTTTTATTTATTTTACTATTTAAAATAAAAAATATTTTTAATTATTTGTATTTATATTGATTAAAATAGTCTAAAAATAATAATTAGCATATAATTTATTAATTTTATTTATATATATATATATATATATATATATATAAGTAATAAAATATGATTAAATTATTTTATAATAATTACATATAAAAATAATAATTAAAGTTTATAAAATTAATAAAAAAAATCAAAATTTTATATAATATTTCATTTGATTTTTATATAAATATAAAAATCACTTATTTTTAATTAAATGTAAATAATATAACAAATATACTTAATATCTATATAATTATAATATATTATATTAAATTTATTTATAAATATTTTTTAAATAATTTCTTATGATTTCTTCATATTTTATTTATTTTAATAATTATATTTTATTTCTCTAAACTATTAATATTTTCGATTATTTATAATTAAACTATTATTTATTTATAAAAATTAAATTTTATTTTTTTATTCAGTCATAAGAAATAAAATGATAAAATCAAAATAAATTTTAAAATAAAAACAATATATATATTATTATAACAATATAAAAAATAATAATACATATAATTATAGAAAAATTAAAAAATATTAATAATTTAAATAAATTAAAAACCAAAGACTAACAAAAAAAAATGAATATTGAATATTCTTAAAAAAAGTTAATTAATATAAAATAAAAATTAATTAAATAAAAGAAAAAGAAAATAATAAATGTTATATTAATTATAATGAACATCAATTATATTTTTCTATAGTTAACATAGTTAACTATCTTTTAAAGACTTCCTATTTATTTTATTTTAAGACACATAAACTTAAAACTATACATATTAAAAGACAAAATTTAAGATTTTGATTTTAATTCGAAAATCAAAATTACGCCATATTTTAAATAATTAAGAACTTAATATCTGAATACATAAAAAGCATAATTGATGAAAAAAAGATATTGAACTTAAACTTAATTTAAAACAGGATTTGCCTAAACTGGATTTTGTTGTGACAACATATTAATTATTATGAATTGTAGGAATTTTTATTGTAAATAAATTTTTATATTACAGATAATTAATTATGTCTAAACTTTTTTTGTAAAAGTTTCAAATATTGTGCTTATTAATATTTAAAAAATTAATAATAATATTCATTTTTATTCTATGTATAAAGGAACATTTAAGAAAAAATTAAAAAAAATGGCATACATATATCGCAGTGGAATCATGCCTACGAAGAAATCTTTGAGTCTTTGAAAAGTAGAATAATTCCTGGAAATGGAGCAGGAACATGGTGAAGCAAGGAATGGGTAGTAAAACTAAGAGATTTTATTAAAGAAAAATTTTGCATTAACGTTTTTTAGGAATTTACTTTGGATTTAAATACTTTTTTAGTTTTTAGGAGGATAAATACTTAAATTAGAAAAAAGAAAAAAAATCATCTTTTTCATATTGTTGAAAATGAGAAAATATAAATAAGTATAGAATTTATTCGAAAAAATTAATCTGAGGGGAATTCAGATAAAATGTAAACACATCTTTATTAATAAAGGTATGGTATGGCGATTTCGTTTTTAGTTTAACTTTTTTTTTTTGAATATATGGGTTTTTCAGATACGGCTGTTGATAAGTTTGATATTTTTAATGATGATAAAGTTCTTAAATTTTAAGTACATCTGGAATATGCTTTGAGTTTTAAAAAAGATTTATGGTATATTGAATGGGATTTAGATCATGATGAAAATTAGCATATTTAAAGATATGCTTTTAAAAACCTTTTTGAATTAATTAACATAGAGAATTTTATGTTTTAATTAATAGATATGTTTAACAAAGGTCTATGTTATTTTTTTTATTTTTTTTTTAGAGTTTAGAAAATTATATTTTACTATTTATATATTTCATATTAAAAATAATTATAAGACATTATACACTTTTTAATGTTTTTTTATTTAAAAATGTCTTATATTTAAAAAAAAAATTAATAAAATTTTAATTGAAAAATTTTGTATATTTTTATAAATTATAAAAGATATTTTTTATAAATTAAAAAAAATATATCTTTAAAATCAAAAAGACGTAATTTTGAATATATTAAAAATATTAATTTAAAAGTTTTTATTTTCAAAAATATTAAATTTAAAATACAAAGTATAAAATAAAATATATTATTATAGAATTAATATTTAAAAAAATGAATAATGTATATAATTCAAGTTTAGTATTATATTATATGTTTTAAAATATTTATATTATTATAATAATTATTTAATATTATAATATTTTTTTAAAATATTTAATATATTTTTTATTTTATTTTTAATTATTTAAGAATTATAAATTAAAATAATTTTTCAAGAAAGAATTACTAAATTGATGAAATATTTTTTTTAAATAAAGTTAATATAATCAAAATAATAAATTTATTCCAAATTTAAAATAATTATTTAATTCTTACAGACTATATCATATTAAAATAAATTGATTTTTTTAAATTTCTATAAATTTATTTTATTTAACTTCATTAAAATCTTCATCGTAAAATTTAATAAAAATGCCTTAAAAAGACAACGCACAGTAGTTTTTTTAACCAAATTTTCCTATTTTTTAAATTAAACAACCTTAAATAATACTTTCTTGCTTATGTATAACTTTCATAATATCCAAATCATAATATAATAATTATTTTTAAGTCAAAATAACAATAATTTTTTCATTTAGTCTAACCACTTGAAACTCTTGAAATGTGTATTTATTTTTACATATAAAAAATAATTGATCTTATTATTTATTATCAGATTCACTTTATATTTTATTTTTATTTTATTTATCAAAACAATCAAAAACACAAAGTAGTAGGTTCTTTTCATTTTAAAAAAATAAAAAATATTAATCTTTTTTTTTATGAAAAGTTTTAAATCTCCTTCTTTATTTATTTCTTTTAATACTAATCCATTCAAGCAATTTATTATTTATATTTTGCAAATATTATCTAATTTATATATATTACATAAAATATAATTTAAAAATTAATGTTACCTTCAATTAAGCATGAACATACTAGAGGATCTTCATCATTAATTATTATTTGATTAGACTAAACTTAAAAATAGAATAAAATGTTAAATTTTTATCCGGAAACAACTTAAATATTATAAGAGTTTATTAAATTTTTCTATTTTAAAATCAAAATATTATTTTTTTCATAAAAATTAAGAAGACGGAAAGTATCAAATGTTAACTTTTTTAGAACTTTTAATTTTTGTAATTTTTTATGAATAAAAAAAATCATCTTTTATTCGTTTTGGATTATTAATTTATCATCTCTAATTTGTTTTATAAAAACTAATTAAAAAAGTTTATTTAAATACAAAAAGTTTTCCAAGTAAAAATATCTTCTTAAAATAATATTTATACGTAAAAAAATAATCAAAAAAACAAAGAAAAACTCTTATTTTTCCTGCAAATTTGCAAATATAACGCATGAAGGGAAATATACTATCAAATTATAAAAAAACTATTTTTTGTAGTTTAGTTAGTATTTATTAAAAAAGAAAAATGGAAATACTAATTAATGAATCAATAAGTCATATGTAAATATTGCACATATATAATTACTATATACATAAAAAAAAAAAATTGGCAATATTATTCTTAAGACTTCAAACACTATTTCTACGTTTATTTATACAAAAGGTTGAAAATCAGATATCAAAATTTCAAATTAATAAAATATATACTGTTTTAAATTATAGTTTATATTTTTAATTAGGTTTTTGGATTTTTATTCTTTTAAAAATAGTATATTGAATATTAAATTTACAAACATTTTTTTTTTAGTAAAAATATATATTTATAATATATATATGAAACATAGAAAATAAAATTAAATCAAAAATAATATTTAATAAAAATTTTTTTTTTTTTTTTTTTAATATTTAAAAAAACATTTATTTATAATTATTTTTTTAAAAAAATTATAATATATTTTCTGTTTTTTTATAAAATATTAATCATATTTATAAATTATATTGCACTATTATTTATTTTAAAAAATTAATTTATTAATAATTAGCTTTTTATATACTTTTTATTTTTAAGTAAATCTATTATAAAAGAAAATTTAAAAAAAATCTGTTTGTAAAATATTTTTTATATTCCAAAAAAAAAAAACAATAGTTAGATTACTAATTTCAAAGCAATTGCAATTTAAATTAAATAACTAATTATAATAATTAAAATATCATCTATGTAAATTTTTTAAATATATTTAATTTTGATTATTTACAATAAATAAATTTATAAAAACAAATTAATATATTTTTTAAAAAAGTATTATTTTTTAAAAATATATAAATCTTATTTTTTGAATAATATATATTAATAATTTTTATTTTCGTTAAAAAATATTCATTTAAAATATTATTTTTCTTCTACTATTAATTTAAAACCTGGATTTTTATTAAGAAAATTAATCCAATCTTATGCGTCTATATAAAGTAAATTACTATCTTTAATTGCTTTTAAAGAAGTTACAGCAGGCTATTTTTTTATAATACATAAACTTTCCCCTATAAATTCACCACTATCACATATTTTAGCCAAATTATCTTACTTAATAAATAGAAGTTTACCACTCTTAATAATAACTACTAAATTAGGAATTTATCCTTATTTCCAAATACATTCATCTTTTTAAACTTATTTTTCCTTAATAATAGCTTCCAATGATACTTTTTAATTTTTATCTAGAGAATTAAGGAAATTATTTTTCTCAACATAAACAATAACGAATTATTTCCTCGCTTAAGTAAGTTTTTTTAATTTATTTAAAATATTAGATCCTTCAGAGAATAAAAACTAAAAATCATGTCTTTCTAAACTTAATAAAGTAGTCTTCTTTTCAGCTTTAGCACTTGCTTTTCTTTGTTTCATTTCATCAATTAAGCTTATTTCTCCAAAATAATCACCTGGCCCAATAAAAGATTCAAAATTTTGATTACTTTTAGAAAAGCATTTAACTAATCCTGATTTTATAACATAAAATTTATTTCCTGTTGAATTTTCAGGAAATATAAGTTCTCCTTTATCATACTTTTCTATTTGTAAACAATCTAATAAATAACGCACATTCTTTACTGTTAAAGAACTAAAAATATCTATATTAGATATTAAATCAAGAGTTTTTAAATGATCAATTTATTAATTAGTGTTTCTCTAATAAATAACTATGGTATTCTCTATTCCTTCTTTCATTGTTTTAAATCCTTCTTAATTCTTCAAATCCTTCTCTGCAATATGTAGTATATAAAGATTTTCTCTCGCTTATTAAGAAAGATGCTTAAATGAACTTAAAGGAGTATGAATAGGAGGAACTCCAGCTTCATGTAAAATAAGGTCATACTTATCAAAATTAATGAGTGCTAATTAGGAATATCTTTCTTTTTATAAATATCCCCATTCAAAATATTTTTTAAGACGAATAGGATCATAGAAAGTATCAGCCGAAAAATAAATGCTTTTTCCCATTACTTCAACATCAAACCCAATACAAGGAATCACATGAAAAGAATAAAAGAAGTTAAATAATCCTCCATTTATTTTCATACTACTTCCTATTATTACAGGTCTAAATACAAATAATTTTTTTATTTTTTCCTCACTCATTGCTGTTATATTAGAATATTTTCTTACAAATGAATTCATTATTGTTCTTGTTGTTATTACTTCAATTTTGCTTTAAAGAAGGATTTTTTCAAAAGCACCTGAATCATGATCAGCATGACAATGTGTTATTATTACTGCAGATATTGTTTATGGCATAATATTCATATTTTTTAAGTAATCATTTGAAAAAGGAGGAGGATCTACCATTATTCCTTTCCCGTAAATCCATAATACAAATCCTGTAGTGTGTCCACAAGGATCAAATCCATGTGAATTTCCTAACACAGTAACTCCGAAATCAGGAGGTCGAAAAGTATTACGTGCTTCAATATTTATAGGAATATTAAATTTGCTTCCTCTTTTTTCTAATGAGCTACTTTAAACAATATCAGTTATTTTTTTTATTTGTGGATTTATCTATTATTATATAGTCTATTACTTTTATTCCTAACATACATCATCTACTTTATAAAATTCTTCTGCAATTTTAACTTTAAATCCTTAAAAAACATCTAATTCATCTAAAATATTAGCAACAGTTTGTCCATTATCAATAAACTTAAAATAAAAAGAATTGCTATTTTACTCTCTATATTTTTAAATCTCAACTATATTATCATCTTCCTTTAAAATAATCTTATTATTTTCAAAAACTTAAAAACTTAGCAAAGAATCTACATTACTATCATATTAAGAATCATGAATAGCCCCTGATAAAATTTTTCGTTCTTTTTTAAAATCCGGATATCCAGAAACTGGATATGTATAATAGAAATCTTCAGCTAAATTTTCATGAGAAATAGGACCGCAAAGAGTTTCTTAAAATGCATTTCTAATACATTCTTTAGTTTCGATATCGCAAATTAAATTTATTTTCTTTTTATGAATAAAATAATTATAATATGCTGGAAATTCAAATTCTGCAACGTTTAAATTTGCTATTATATCAAATCGTTTGCTTGGAATAATAAAATTTGTTGGTACATCTAATTTTAATGTTATTGAATCTTTTATAGTTTCAGGAGGAATTCCATATTATATGTTTCCCACTGATGTCTTTATTATATAACCCCCTCGAGGTAAATCTATTAATTTATGTCCTTGTGTGTATTTATATATATAAGCATTTGATGCTAATGGAATTGGGCTCAAATGCTCACTTAATTCATCTATAAAAGATTTTTCTAATGCTTTAAATTCTCCAGAAAATGAACAAGACATCTTTTATAATAGAAAGATTTTATAAATAATATATATATATATATATATATTATAAAATAATTAATTATTATTATATATATTTGATTTAAATTGTATATAAATATAATTATATGACTAAAAATAGTGTTCTATTACTATACTTATATACTAATAAGTTTATAATTTCAAAATTTATTAAAAATAAATAATTTTAATATACAATTATAGATTATTTTTATTGAATATTTAATATAAATATCTTTAATATTTTTTTTATTTTTAAATTAAATTAAAGTACTTTTAATATAAATAATATTTTTTTGTATAAAAATCATAATAAATATTTATATTTTAAAATATTATTTAACAAAAAATTTATTCTTGATTGATTTACTTTTTTTTTTTTTTTTAATTCTTAAAAAATATTATATATATATTTACAATTTTATATTTTTAAATTAAATTTCATTAAAGTATTTTTGCATTTAAATAAATTTTCTTATGTTTATTTACAGTTTCAAAATAATCTAATATTGGTTCTGGATAATCTTTTCCTTAATAATAAAAAAATGATATAAAATCAGCAATAATACTTAATAAAACATACCAATTATTACTCCATATTCTTTTTATTCTTCTTTATTAAGTTTCCAAGGTTCAAATAATTTATTTTTAGGTACATTTTTTAATTCTGGAATCCAAAGCTTAATTTAAAAGTATATAAAATTAATTTAATTATTTTTAAATTGAAAAAATACTTTAATATAAATTCCTTCCGGATCATAATCATTAGATTATTTCGTAATATTAAAAACTCTAAATTATCTACCATCATTTCCTATACCTGCTGAATATTACCTTAGAATATATAAAACTATATAAATAAAAATATTTTACCAATTTCCATAATTAGATTCAGGATCATAATCTAATAATATACTTTCGAAATATTCAGCACCCATTCTCCAATCAACCCTTTAGTTTAAATTAAATTTAATTAATATAAATTGTATTTACCACATATTTTTATTCAAAAAACTAGCAACATTTTATCTTCCTCTATTAGACATAAAACCTGTAGAATTTAACTCTCTCATATTTGCATCTACAAGCGGATATCCAGTTTTTCCATTTTTCCATAATTCAAAATAGTTTATTTCTTGATTCCAATTAATATCTAATCCTTATATTCCTTTTTTATATATTTTTTTATTTTATTTAATTTTATTTTTTTAAAATTATTATTTACCATTTTTATAAAATAGTTTATTTTTATATTTTATTGCAACAAATTTAAAATAGTCTCTCCATAATAATTCAAATATTATCCAATAAGTAGAATCGTTCTTTATCCTTTCTTTTTCGTATTTTTTAACTTCTTAATATATATATCTTGGAGATATGCATCCATTCGCTAACCAAATAGAAAATTTACTTGAATAATCTGCTCCAACCATACCTTTAATTATATTTATTTTTAATATTTTTAAGTGTTTTTTATATAAATACCATTTCTTGTATTTTTATAATTTTTTAAAAGGTCTTATTCCCATATATATTATTAAACTCTATTCATACCTTCAGTTTCACCACCTTTGTAAATAATTTTTTTTTTTTTTTTTTTTTTTTAATCTAACCTTTAAATTATAAAACTCCTCTTTAATCGTATTCAAAGTCTTCTATTTCAAGTTATTTTAAAGTCGGTATTTAACCTTCTTCTAAAAAAAATAAAAAAATATTATAATTAGAAATACTTTAATCAATTTAATCAAGTAATTCCTAAGGAATAGAAGGCAAATTTCCAGGAACCTAAAAACATTTTCTAATTTCAGACTATTATTCAACTTATTTTCTAAAATTGGTATATAAGTCCGGCAAATCTTTGCAATCAAAAGGTAAATCATCTTTATGTATTAACGTTTATCCCCAAAACTTTTAAAATTCTTTAATTCTAGTTATAAAGAATATCATTTTTTTTAATAAAATTAAAAAAATAATAATACCCTAATTTTTGTAAATTTTAAATAAGATTTTATTCTATTTATTTTTCTTCATAACATATTTCATCTTAATAATATATAGAATTTATTTAAAAACTATCAACTAATTTTAGTATTTCTTGTTCAGTTATACCTTTTCTTACTATTAAATTACTTCCTTATTTTATTTTTTAAATATAAAAAAAATGGAAAATTTTCTAAAATTAAAATACCTAAATTTAATAATTTATTTCTCAAATCTTATACACTTTCTATTTAAAATTTTAATCTAAACTTTGAAGTTCTCTAAAATCCAAAATTCCATGTTTTGGCGAGATATCTATCATCAAATATAAAAACTGGAATTATTAATTTTGGATTAGATTCATATGCTTTATATAAAGCTTCATTATCATATAATCTTAAATTGTTTCTGAACCATAATAATATTCTTTATTCTTTTTTTTACATTTAGGTTTATTTTTATTGTCAATAATTTATTTATTTTAAATTAATATTTAATTTATTTTTATATTTTATTTTTTTTCAATTTTTTTTTACGTTCATATTTATGTAAAAAAGAAGATTTTTTGTGTTCCTTTTTAATTTTATATAAATTATATTTATATTAAATACTTTTATATATAATAAAATAATTTATTTAAATAAGGATAATTTTTGTTAAATAAAGTTTTGGTTTTATGTTATAATAATAACAACTAAAAGTAAGTAATTATAATTAAATAAATTTATTTAAACTTTTTTTTTATTTTCGAAAATAATAAATATAATCAAATAATTATATGACTTTTTATTTAGCGTTTTATACTATTCTTAAAATGTAAAAATATTTTTTTGTTGATAATCAAAAATTGTATATTTTTTTTAATTTTTTTTATTTATAATTTAATATTTTTTTTATATTAAAAATAATTTATTATTTACTTCAATATTTTTATTTTAGTAATAATAATCTTTTTATTATTTTTATTAAAGTTTTTTTATTATAATGTTTTTTATATATCTATTTTTCTTTTATTCTAAATTATAATATTTATTAATTAAATATTATTTAAAAAAAAATATATAAAAAAGTTTCAACAAAAAATGGTTTAATAAGAGAATCTTACATTTGTTAATATGGATGAAACAGGTCATATTTAAAAAGCTATATTAAAAGAAGGAATAGGTGAGATTCCCGAAAAGCATAGAGAAGTATTAGGTAAACTAAACAAACAAACAAACAAAAGACTTCTTTTAAATATTTTTTTTTCTTAAAATAAAAAAAAGTATATTTTGTATTAAGAAAAGAAAACGGTGATTTTGTAACAGGAACAGATTCCAATGCATATAAAATAGTAATAGGAAGAAATGATGCCATACCTTTAATGGATAAAATAATATCTTCAATGCGTTTAGGAGAACGTGTATTGGCCAAAATAAATACCGAGTATGTAAAATAATCTCCAAAGTTATGTTAATTATACACAAAAGAAGAGTAAATTTAAGGTTTGGAATTAGAAATAGAATTAGTAAGACTATCAAATTATCGAAATAATTTATGGGAATTAGAGAGCGAAGAAAGAGAAAAAGCCGCATAATAATTAAAATAAGAAGGAAATGAATAAATAAAAAATAAAGAATATCAAATTGCAGCTTAAAAATATAATTTAGCACTCAATTCCATTAGGAATGATTCTAATGAAACTTTCGAAGAATTACATTAATCTCTTTTAAATAATATTTCCTTGGCACATTTAAAAAATGGAGATTTTAATAAATGTGTACAAAGTGCATCTGCAGCATTGGTCAATTAATAGGATAATCTTAAACTTCTTTATAGAAGGGCTCAAGCTTATGAAGGATTGGAATAGTTTGATAAGGCTAAGGAAGATTTGAAAACTGGACTTAGTATTGATCCGGATAATGTAGAATTTTAAAAAGAATTAGCTGGTTTAGCTAATAAAGAAAAGGCTTAAAAAATTAAAGAGAAGAAAGTTTATGAAAATATGTTTAAATGATTTTTTTTTTTTAAATAAAATAAATTCATTATTATTTGAAATATTTAATAATTTATTTGTTTCTATTTCAAATAATTTATATATATTTTTATTAAATATAAATTTTTTATATATATATGTAAAATCATATTTTTGAAAAGAGCTCGTAAGGAACATTAATTAAAGTTTATTTTCCATTTTTTTAAACTTCAAGAATACCTTCAAATTTAGATTAATTAATATCCTTTAGAATTCCAATTTGTTTAATGAACTCTCCTTATTAAAGAATCATTGCTTTTTCACCAATCTTAGGTATCACTGTTTCTAAAAAGGATTAATCAATAACAATTATAATTGAAGGATATTTAATTAATTAAACTTATGCAGAAAATTGGTCCTTAACTTTTAAAACGAGAGCTTTTTATTTATAATATTCCCCATTTTTGAGTTTCTTGTCTTTTATTTTAACTATAATTGCTTCTTATAGCCAAGGTATATCATCAAAATTATCATCTATTTATTAATTTGTTTTATTTTATTCCTTTGTTTATTTTAATTGATTAGTATTTTGAATTTCTTGTAAATTATCTTAATTATTATTTTATTATTATTTATTATTATTATTAGAAAGAGGGAATTCAATATTTTTTTTCAAATTAATACTATCAAAAGAGAAAGTTTCTTTATTATTTTAATTATCATTTTTATTAATTGCTAAATTCAAACCAAAAGAAAGAAAATTTTAATTCTAATCTTCTACAAAATTAGGTAAATTTTTAATTTTTAATTAATTTTTTTTATTCATTGCATCTTCAATTTATTGGGCATATTTTAACTCACTTTCGAGTTATTTTTATTATGCTTTTTCAGATTTTTCTTATAATTTTATTCTTTTTTCTTCCTCTTTTTTCTCTTTTTATGCTTTTAGTACTTAATCTGTATATGTAATATAAAGTCCCATATCTGTAAATTCGGCTTCTAATTTTCCTATTCATGCAATTAAGTTACAAATTCAGTCAAAGTAGCCCACTTAGTACTATTCATATGTACATGAGTTTTATCAGAAATTAATTCTTTATAAACATTATTTGCAAGTACTCTTTTAGATTGATATTTTTTCTTTAATAATTCAAAAAACTCATTTTCGAATTATTAGCTATATTAATCGATAAAATTATCAGGATTTTATGCAAATAAACGCATATTGTTTATATGTGTGGAACTCTTTTGATGAGATTTGAAACCGTTTGGGTCTCGGCATTATTTTTTGCACATCTAACAAAAATATTTTAGTTTTTGTAAACCTTTCAATTTCATTCGGTTTGCTATATCTTTGGGAGTACCTTTTTCTGGTTTTTTCATTTTTTTTATCTTTTATATATATATTGGCGTAAAATATTAATTTCTTTTGTTTTTTTTGTTAATTTTAAAAATAAAAAATATTTGATTTTTTAATATTTTTCTATTAAATATATAAATTTAATACAAAAAAATAAATAATATAATTTATTCGAAATCAAAGTTTTAAAAAACAATCAACAACAATATCTAGTACAAATTCAAGTAAATTTTGATCAGGAACCTTCACTGAAGCCCCATACATAGATGCACTTGAACTATTCTTAAATTAATCAGGGTTTTCTTACACTTCAATAACTGATTTTTTAAGATCTTTGCAAAATTATTTAGTTCTATTAGCTATTCCATTGTTAATAGAAATCTAAATAGCAGGCGGAAGTTATCCTCCTGATAAATGCCATCCTTTTTTTGACATAGCTCCTTCCAAATGATAAATATTTCTTCCAGTACCTGCTTTATAAATAATTCCTATTGCGCAAATTTAAGGATTTCCAATAACGTCTAACTCTTATAATTCAGGAGTTGTTTTAATATAATTTACGATATCCTAAACTGCTTACCAAATATGTTTAGAATTATTAATGTAACCTTCTTTTCCTGTTACCATCATTACGTACCATGCACCAGATATTTAAGTTCCTGTCCTATAACCTGATATACTTGGAACTGCGTAGAGACCACCTGGCCAATCACTGACTGAAGTGTAACAAAATTATCTTAATAGATTATTTTTAAACATTATTATTGATACTCCTTTTGGAGTAAGTCCATATTTGTGATGATCACAACTTATAGAGGTCACTCCTTTATTTTTTGTGTTTGTTTTTGTTTTTGTTTTTTTTTTAAATTTACCTTCAACTGTAAAATCAAAAGGTGGTAATTATAAACCTGAATCTTTGGCAAAAGCGGCTACAAAACCTCCTAAACAGCAATCAACGTGCATTCCTATGTCCTTTTATTTAGCTATTTATGCCATTTCTTATATAGGATCTATATTTCCATGAGGAAAATTAGGGAAAGATCCTAGTAACTAAATATAGAAATAAATATAGATTTAATTTATTTATTTTTTAAAAAAAAACCATAATTGTGTTTTTATTAATTGTTTTTTGTAATTAATTTAAAGAAATTTAATCATTTTCATCAACAGGTAATTTTATACATTCAACATTAAAATATTTACAAGCTTTAACAACTCCAGGGTGAGCAGTAACTGGGATAATTAAATTAGGTTTGGTAATATTCTTATATTTTAAAGCATAATTTCTATGAGCTAAAACACTTAGAAGTAAACTTTCTGTACCTCCTCCAGTCATTATTCCATATCCATCATCTGAGCCAAACAGAGAGCATGTTATTTTTATTAATTCAGCTTCCATTTATCTTACTGAGGGAGAAAAATCATTATATTAACAATTATGATATGAAAAATCCTCTATTTTTAAAAATATTGACTTTTGAATTTATATTTTTCTTATATTTTTACTTGAAAATTCTTTAACTTAATTTTCAAATTTAATATCATCTAAATAACGAGAACCAGAAATTTGACCTGTCCCACTTAATTTTTCATCTCTTTCAACCCATTCTACAAGTCTTTTTTTTATTTGATTCAATTTAATTCCTCTATTAGGGAGCTTAAAGCATTTATTTGTTGTAACCGCATCTAATACTTTAGAATATGAATCTTATATTTATTTAATACTTTCTTTGAATTTATTACGTACTAGAGGAATATGTTTTATTGAAAATCTAATTATGTGGGATTTCAAAGGTATTTATCGGACTATTATTATTTTGTCTTTATAAATAAAAAAGTTTATTTTATTTACAATCGATATAGGCTTCAAAAAGATATTGGGAAAGTTAAAGCATTTTTTTTATGGTTATAAATAAAAATATTATGATTATAACTTTATCAAATAAATCTAATTAATATTTTAAAGTAAAATCAGATATTTTTTATTCCAAACTAAAGGTAAATGGATGTAGAGAATTATATATATGCTCTTTTAAGAAATTATATATAGTAATCATTTTTTTGTTAATTTTTATAATAACATAAATATATATATATAAATATATATATATATATATATATATATATATATATATATATATATAATAAAAGATATTTTTTTAAAAAATATTTATAATTGAAAAATAATATTTTTATCTAATGAAAAATAATATAATTTAACAGATAAAATTTAAAATAATTATTAATATTTTTTTATAATAAGTTACTAAATCATTATCTAAATAAATAAATGATTAAATATAAAATAAAAAAATTAAAAAAAATCAAGAAATAAATTAAATATATAAAAATATTAAATTTAAGTTTAAAAAAATAAAAAACTAAATTAATTTTTTTTTTTTTTTTTAATAATTATGTAAAATAATTAATAAAATAAGATTATTTTAATAAAAGAATTTTTTTTTATATAAATGATTCTTTTTATAAAAATAATATTTAAAATACATATTCATAAATTTAATTATATTTTACTATTCTTTATAAGATTATGTCTATTTTTTTCTCTATAATATTATTTTTAGTACAAAAAAAACTTTTAGATATAATCTAAATAAAAATAATTTTACAATAATAAATTATATATATATATATATTTATTTTTTAAATAAAAGCTGAAATATTAAAAATACTAAAAGTTTTATCAATATTATTGTATTTTTTATAAAATTTCAGGTATTTAAGAGTAATATTTAAATGAATAAGCATATATTATATTGAGTATAAGATTTCATAGTTATATAAATTATTATATTATTAATATTTATCTTATAGAAAAATAAAGAATTTTAATTATATATTTACTTATATTATTTTAATTTTGTAATATATCTTTTGAAATCAAAAATAGATATATTTAAAATTATATTTGCATATAATATAATAATTTTGATTAATTTTTATTAAATTATAATATATAAAAATTATTTGTAAAATATAATTCTTTTCCAGAAAATTAAATAATGAAAATTAATATATTATCTTTATAAAAATGAACATTTAAAATAATTAATTCTTACAATAAAAATTTCTAAATAAATTTTAGTATTATTTTTACTTGTGTAAATTTTAATAATATATATTAAAATATAAAATTAAAAAAAATTCTATAAAATTAAAAATGGATTTTTATCCTTTTAATTTATTATAATTTTTTTTTTTTTTATGCACAAAAATAAAAATAAAATAAATATATTTAAAAAAGTAAAAAGAATAACAAGAAAGTAAATATTAGACCATAAAGATAAAATATTTTCTTATATTTATTATAATTTAAATGTTATAGAGATAAAAAAAAATTAATTTTAAATATAAATCATATAAAAAATAATATAAATAATTAAAGCAATATAAATAATTCAAAATTAAATATATAATTAATTAATGGGAGGGGGATTAAACAAAAAACGTTAGATAAATATATTATTAATAGGATTAGATAATTCAGGAAAAACAACATTTTTAAACTATATAAAAGAAACAAATTTGAATTTAATTTAAGATTCAGTTCCTACTGTAGGTTTTAATGTTCAGAAATTTGTAAGAAATAATACAGAATATAATTTTTATGACATGTCAGGCTAAAGCAAATATAGAGAAATGTGGAATAATTACATAAAAGAAATTCAAGGAATAATATTTGTTATAGATTCAAGCGATTAGTTACGTTTTTCAGTCGTAGCAAGTGAATTGTAAAATATTTTGGATTAAAATTGTGTAAAATAAAAGCCAATACCAATTTTATTTTTGGCTAATAAATCAGATTTATAAGGAGCTGTTTCGGCCGAATAATTTAAGGAATATCTTAATTTAAATTTAATTTAAGGAAGATAATGGAATATAATTGAAACTAACTCTAAACAAGGTAAAGGTCTAGACATTACTTTAGATTGGATTACATAAGCAATTTAACATGCATTTCCAGAAAAATAATAATAAAAAAAATAATGAGAAAAAAAAAAAAAAAAAAAAAAAAATTTTTTTTTTTTTTTCTTTTATTATTAATAAAATAGTTATATATAAATATATCAAATTATTTATTTTAATTTTTTCATTAATCAATTTAAAGATTGCGAATTATTATTTATTTAAGAAATGCTGAAATTATTATTAATTTTTATTCAATGAATTTACTTAAGTTATTGTTAATGGGGTAACTTTTAATATTATAATATATTTTCCTATAAAAAGAAGTTTATTTTTTATTTAAAATATATTTTTATAAATTCTTTTAGTGTTTTTCCTTTTTTTATTTTTTTTATTTTTAAAAAAAAAAAAATTAACCTATTTTAATTTTAAACTTTTCTTTTTAATAAATTTGAAATTTTCATTTTATTTTTGTTGTATTAAAAATAACCAAAAAATCCATATTTTTCATTTATTGAAAACTAAATTTAATTTTTTTATATTTTTATGTTAAATTTATTTATCTAGAAGTACTCTTTTTTTTTTAATATTTTTTCGTTTATATTTTTATTTAAATAAAAAAGTAATGTCTTTTAAAATTAATTAAAATAAAAATATATTTCAATAATTTATTTTTTTAATAATAAAAATTTATAATAATATATATATACATATATAAAACAAAATATTATTTATATAAAAATTATATATAAAAAGTTTATATATATCGTATAGTATCGTATAGATCATCATAAAACTCGTTTAATAGGAGGTAATATTCTTCCAGTAATAATATTAATTCTTTCATTATTACTAGGAATATAAGAAACATTATTAGTTATTCTATTTTTACTTTTTAAATCATTATAAAAATCAAACTAACAGGCCTTTTAAATTACATCTTTTGGATAAACTTAACTTGTAATTGGATTAAGTCTTTCAATTTAAGGCTTCCATTTTATATCTTTGACATCTTTAGGGTCTTTTAAATCATGATAATACATTGTGCTTGATTTTATATTTAAATGAGTTTAGTTATTTTCATCATATTTCATTACTTATTTTACTTATTTAGAATCTACTATATCTTAAATTTAAATTACTGGTTTACGCTTTTCTGTATTTATATATTTTATGTATTATTTTTAAGCCTCAGAAGAAAAATGGCATTTAACTTATACTTAATCTATATTATGTTCATGTTATAAAACTACTTGTGATGTTGAAGGATGGGGAGCATTGAACTTATTAATTTCGGGGAGTTTTTATATAAATTAGCATTAATATATTGTTTAAACTGGGCGTTCCCATTCTTTAATGCCTAAAGAATAATTATGATTACTCATTATTATGGATTATTACATTTTTTTTTTTCCTTTAGGAAATTGTTAAAATTTACTAATTCCGTTTAACATTTTTGATTTTTCTTTTCTTTTTTAATAATTTTTTTTGTTATTTTTTTTTTTTTAAAAAAAAAAAATAATGTTACATATTTTTTTTATTTTTAAGAATTTGTTTTGTTAAATTATTTAATATTAATTTTTATAATTTATTTTAAAATTTTTTAATTAAAATAATTCATATCATTTTACTATGAATTAAAAATAAAATTTTAATACTGTAAGCATTTCAACTTCAAAAAGTGAATTAAATAAAGGAATTTATTATGTACTTGGAGCTCATTTTAATTCTACGGATGAATAAATAAGATGGTTTTATATTTTATATTATTTTTTTATTTATAAATATTAAATAAATAGTAATTATGATAAACTATAAAAGATATTTCAATAAAATTATGAAAATTCAAAAAATAAAAAACCTTAAAATAACTAAGAAATAAATGATAATTTAAAAATGATTGAACGTGTAAATTTAGCATATGAAATGATAAAAAATTAATCTGTAAAGATATAAAATATTATCAAAATTAATAAATAAAAACAGTTAAAAGAAGCATATATTAACGATATAATGTTAAGAAGTTTTTTATGTTAACATATAACAAATTAAACAGTTTAATATAGTGGTATATATATATATATATATATATATTATATGATAAATAAAATGTTTTTTATATTATTAAATTATAGAATTAAAGATTTTTCCTTTTTTTGCTTTTTAGGTTTATAAGAAAAATAAAAACGAAGTAATTTTTCTTTTTTTTTTAATTATAAATAAAAAAAAGGCTATAATTCTTAAATATAATTTTGTAAATTAAACTATTAGTGAAACTCAAAATGATAAATAAGTTTAATAATTCTTATTTTGTGCTTTATATGTATTATAATAATTTTATTTTGTATATTAAAATATAATAATTCATATTTTAGAGTGTTTTATACGGATAAAATGAAAATTAGTTTATAATAAGTATATGGTTTTCTGGAAAAATAAAAACATTTTAATATAATACAAAATATAGTAATTAAAGAGAATTAATAGGTAGTATAGAAATTTAGTTTTAAATATTAAAAAATTATTATTAAAAATAAAAGTTTAAATTTCATAGATGGCAAAAAGCTATTATGAAGAAGTAAAACCTGCAGTAGTCTTATAAAATCCAAATTTCAAAGAAAATGATTAAATTAATGTTATTCATGGATTACCCTAGTCAAACAAAATTAATACAAATAAAATTTATTGGAGAGATTAATTACTTCCTCCAAAAATTGAAAGGAAGTTTAAAGCTAATAGGATTAAACTTTTTACAAAAGACTCTGTTTATTTAATTGTAGGTTTAACTTAATTATTAATAACAAAGTAAAATATTATTTTATTATTAGTTTATAATTTTTAGTTACAATTTTAAATTACAATCAATAATTATTAAAAGAGACGAAGATGCTAAAGTCATAAAATTTATAATTCCTTT